ACACACACACACACACACACACACACACACACACACACACACACACACACACCGACATGAACCTACACACAAGGACACACTGATATACCGACACGCTGGCATGCACATCGGCACACCATCACACGCAGCTACACCAGCAGCCTGACGCCACTACATTAACGATACCTGATGACAGGAACGATGGGAGAGGTCGAAAAGGGGTGTTGGAGGAAACACTGAACGCATTGCTTCCTTTGTATTAGCATTAGATCATTGAAGCTATTATATTGTTTGAGCCAGAATGTGATGGACGGTGATAGGGGGTGATAGCGATTAACAACGAATGATAAGGAGTTAACAAACGTAAGTTGTGGGAGAGCCTTCGTCTCTCATCACGCTGGTAGTACGCTGACAGTGATCAGTGATTGGGGTGGTGGTTTACAGACAACTACGATAGGTGGTATTTACAGACAAAAACTGGTTATGATCAAAAGAGGTAGGCTTTGGGAAAGCAATAGACACGTGACACGGAATTTCTTTGTGACGATCTAGGGCCTCCTTTACGATTACCTTCCATCTAGGGCCTCCTTTACGATTACCTTCCATCGAGGGCCTCCTTTACGATTACCTTCGATCTAGGGCCTACTTTACGATTACCCTATGTTCATAACGACTTATGCAGTGAAGCTCAGCGAATTGATTCTGATAAACTTTTACTCGGAATCGAATAGCAGATCACTGTTCTTCTTAGTGCGGTTGAACACGAGGGATACCGATAAAGATGAGAAGAATAAAGTGGATAACTTCTTTATCACTGATGCCACGGTTATCGGCTTTTCAAAAACAGCCAACATCATTCGAGGCAGCCTTCTGCCGTTGTGCGGCTGCTACCATCTGACGCACCTCAGCAATGTGCGTTACTCACGCTGGTGATCTCATACGAAGTGATTTGTTTGCAATCATAGCAGAAGTTTTGTAAGGTCAATCTATTGGTTATCGTAAGTTGTTGTTGCGATAGCACTCGTGACGATTTTGTGAATATTCATTGCGTATGAACAGTCTGAAATTGAGCAAGTGCTTCTCACCTAGCATGCGCATCGGTAGTGGTGAGTGGTTTTACGTTTGCACCGCACTGCATCGGATACAATGACGTAAATTGATTATCATATTGAGCGAAATTGGGAACACCCTCTGATCTAGCAAGCACCGGCAGAAAACCCTGAAATCTATAGATATATATAGCTTGGCGACTCCAGCGAGTGCCTGCAAGACGTGCTACTATGCGAACACGTTTAGTGAAATTAGCAGGCTGACGTTAAAATTTCGTTCTCTAGTCTGTCCTGTAATGAATACAATTCCACCACATTCTTCGGCATTGCTTCTAAAACTCACGCCCAACTCCTTCGGTGGCTCCGTAACTTTGACATCTTTACGCTTTGTCCTCTCATTAACAACTGTAGCTGGACCCGGAGGTGGTGCCTTCTCTTCAGGGTTTACGTTGTTGACCTGAACGTCGTATTCAAACTTCCATCGGCGACAGTTTCGCTATGCATTGCATTGGCTTACCATCCATATGTAAAGCAGAACGATCCTCAGCTGCATACTGTCGACAAATTCGATGAGAAGATGAGCACCTCACTCACTCCCAACCCTTTAATACCTGTTGATACGATATCATTATCAGAGTGAAAGAAAAACTCGTCATATCTGTGATAGGTCTGAGCCTTTGTTATCATGTCTCTACCCGAAAGAACATAGCAACATTGACTGTTCTCTCTCCATCCGATCTTCGCAAGTTGCGTGCGCTTTCATTCGTGATTACGTACGTCAGAGCCACATCAGAGCTTTCCTCCCTTGAAAGATCAGGATTCTGCTACAGATGCGGATATTCGCTTTAAAAACTGCACTAGATCAGATGCGCCAATGAGATCATGTGTCCTGTCATGATTCCGGTTAGGAACAGTGTAATAAAACAATACTTCCAGTTCACAGCTTACAAAACCGAATGAATGCGGGTCAGAGATCGTCCTCGTGATTTACATCTTTTAACATCCTCTGCTCCTTTTCGTTCTTCGTTAATCGTTATCATTTACTACCCCATTACCAGATCCCGTCTCAGGCAACATAACAGGACCACTGATGGACTTTTATTATGAAGAACGCAATGTGTTCAGGTGTTCTTCAAACATTCCCTATCAGTTATCAACCCATCTCATCATCCCCTGTCATGAACTACCAATGAGTTGTGTAGTGAGTGCGGTGGGTGCGGTGTGCTTGGAATATACGCAGGGCTAGGCACGAGTATGTTCTTCATACCGTGTGGGCAGTGTGGATGCGTAAGTAAGTAAGTATGGATAAATGTATTTATGTATGTATGTATGTATGTATGTATGTATGTATGTATGTATGTATGTATGTATGTATGTATTGATGTATGTATGTATGTATGTATGTATGTATGTGCGTATGTATTTACACTAGTAAGGGTGAAAAAATTCGTGAAAGGTGTGTTTTGGGTGTGTAGGGTATGTGTGGCATATGAAAAAAGTTTGTACCGTTTCTGTGAGGAGTGGCCCAAGTATGTCCACGTTGAGCGTCTGTGGTGATGCCGTTATGTATGGAAGTGTAGCGCCGCTTAAAGTGATTGAATGGTGTAGGGTTGAGTGTGGTGGCGTGTGTGGTGATATACGTTTGTGTGTAGTACGTGGTGTATGTGATAAACAGGATGTACATGTATGTGGAGTGTGTGAATGATGTGTGTGAAGAACAGCTGTGGTGTGTGTCAGTGTGGTATGTATTGAAGCTGGTTCCGGTGTTGTGTGCTATGTGAGTCGTGGGTGAAGGGTATGACGTGTAGGTGTTGTCTGAGCTATAGTGATGGGTGTGGGATGTGTCGGTAGTGTGTGGTGCGAGGCAAGGGTCGTGGTTTCCTTGTCTGTGGTGCACGATTTGGGTTCATCCATGTGCGCGGTTACGTGTGGTGTGGGTATTTTTGGAATTATACATTTATGTAGTGTGTGTTTGGTGTTTGGTGCGGTGTATGATGTGTTGATTGTTTTTGTGCGTTTGAGGTGTGACGTGTGGCTTTCAGCGTTTGTGGGGCGTTCAACTTCTGCGTTGCGGGTGGTGTATGATGTGTGGGTGGTGTGTGTGTGTATGTATGTATGTATGTATGTATGTATGTATATGTATATGTGTGTGTGTGTGTTTCGTAGATTTCTAAGGGGTTTAGAGAGACGAGGGC